AATAATAATAATAATAATAATAATAATAATAATAATAATAATAATAAAGTAGGCATACTTCTTATCTACCTTATACCTCTACCTTCCTTCCAACCCTACCCATCCTAATCCCTTCCAAACCCCCAACACTAGGTAGGAGAGAAAGGTTAGAGGGGAAAGGGATAGCATGTATCTCTTTAGACCACTTCTTGCTGTTTAGAGACACATTTTCAAGTGTAATCTTTGTAGTCAAGATATCTCCAACTTCTCATCAAGCTGCCTCAACAGCAACCAGGAGCAGCAGGGCAGTGGGGGCAGGGGGGGGGCTGTAGGGGGCAGAGGGAAGCAGCAAGGGGCGGGGCGGGGCGGGGCACAGCAGCCTTCTTCCTTTGAGCACCCAGCCCGTTTTGGGCTCTGGCCTTCATTCCACCTCAGGGTCCCACGAATTAAACTGAAAGACCCCAGCCTCACACTAAGTTAAACATAGCTAATGCCATTTTGTGAGACACCACTGTTTTGTAAAACTCTGAAGGCCAGATGAGAAACTGGAAAATTACTGAGAAATCCTAGCTGTGTCACCCACTTGGGATATCTGTGGTCAGGCTGCCCCAGTCATACTAAAAACAGTTTGTGTTAATCACTCTCATAGATATCTGTGAGACTGTTTCAGCTAAGATAGGGAAAAACAAAATAACAGGTGGCGGGCCACGTCAAGGGGTCATCCTACCCCCCTTGACCACCCAGTTCCTGGAATCTTGGTGCCCCTGCCAAACTTTGACGCAAATTGTGGTCTCGTGTAAACGTACCAATCAGCCCCCTGTAACCATGCCCTCTCGTTTCTGTACCAGTGCTTCTGCTCTAAAACCCTATAAAAACCCCAGTTTTTCCCCAAGCAGGCGCGCAAGGTCCTCTCGAGTGACCTTGCTGCCCGAGTACTCGTGAATCAAAATAAAAGCCTCTTGCTGTTTGCATCCGAATGGCCTCGTTGATCCTTGGGAGGGGGTCTCTCTGACAGAAGATACCCTCCGGGGATCTTTCAAAACTATCTACAGCTGGCAGAGATCACACCCCCCTCAGAGTCCCCACGAGGCAAACAGTCCGCTGCTGTGGACAATCAGCCCAACTATCCCATGCCTGGGATTACAACAAAAACGTGTTTACATAACTCAGGTTTTTAAAGAAACCCAAACTCCCACTGTATCCCCCTCAGACGGAAGAAAGCCGAGCTGCAAAGAACACTCCGAGAACCAGACCAGCTGCCTGAATGAAGTTCCGACCGACTGAGTCACCTGGAAAGGACACTCTCCGGCCTGCAGAGCTGCCTGCAGGCTGTGCGGTATGCTCCAGGTTCTCAGCCCCAGTGAGCTGTCCCCATGATGAGGTGGGCCCCGGTGATGCAGCTATCTTGGAGTCGTCTCTGCCCCTTTAAGTATCCCTCATCCATGCTCCTGTAAGTAACGCCATTAAAACTCCCTGGTTCACCGAGTTGGATTTGGGTGGTATCTGGACTTCGGCCAGTCGTGGGATTCCCACCTGAGGTGAGGAGATGTGTGTGTTGTCTTCCTGGGAAAACAGATTACCAGTAACAATAGGCCATAGTGTCGTCCCGTCTTTACAGCCAGGTTTTCATAATTAACTTTCCAAGGAGAAGACTTACGTTATCATAGGAAGAACGGGCACTACTCAGGACAGCAGGAGGTAACATTCGCTTAGACCGAGGGGGAGGCCTGCTTCTCAAGCCCACTGCCATTCGGAGCAGTTAGGATTGCCTCACTGTGATGACGATAATGCTAGTTAAGTGGCAAATTAGTGAATAACAGCTGAATAACCCACAACAAAAATTACTTAAATACTCCAGAACACGAGGCAAGAGTGTGGAGAGTTTCACGCCACCTCCATGAGCTACGTGGACACTGTTGAAAATTAAAACAGGAGCCTGGAAGAGCTGGCCCGGTGGTTTGGAGCACTCCGGTTGCTTTTGTTGACCAGGGTTTACCAGCACCAACGTGGTAGCTCACAATTGTCAGTAACTCCGATTCCGGGGGACCTTACACCGTCTTCTGACCTCTGCAGGCAGTGGGCACGCACAAGTCACACATATACGCAGACAAAACACCCATACATATAAAATTCATTAAAAAATTAACAAATATAACGAAATGGGGAGAAAAATAACCCAAATTTAAGCTGGGTGTTGTGGAGCATGCATTCAGGAGGCAGAGGCTAGGCCAGCCTGGTCTACAGAGCGAGTTCCAGGACAGCCAAGGCTGCAAAGAAACCCTGTCTCTGAAAAACAAAACAAGCAAAATTTAGTTTTGTAATGTCTTTGTCTGGGTTATGGTCTTTGGGACAAAAATCTGTCTTTTTTGTTGTTGTTGTGTTTGCTGAATAAAGCAAGCATAGAAAGAAAAGCACCAGCCAAATAACAATTCTGTTTGCTTGTCTCCTCCTAGACTAATTACTATTTTCTCTCTCCTGAGTTATGGTGGATGGGATTAAAACAAAAACGTGTTTGGATTTCGAGTGCACCTGGGACCCAGAAAAGCATGCTGGCTAGTTCTGATCAGGGATAGGCTGAGATCACCTGGGTAGGCCCAGTCGACCTGGCGCCAACTGAGGAGCAAGGGAAACCCAGGTGACCCAGAAGCCTGCTGCATTCCCTGGCCGACCTCCGGGAAGGCTCTGTGTGGAGAAAGCTCAGAATTCCAGGTCCTGCTGTCTTGCGTTCGGGATTTGCTCACACGTGGCCAGCCCGCGCCCAACGCTCGCTGGGCAGCCTGATGCCCAGCGTCCGCCCAGGCGTTGCCCTCTTGGCGGTCCTGGCGTTGGGTGGAGTCTTCGTCCTGCTCGGGTGCTGTGTCTACCTGGACAGGAGACGGCGAAGAGACCCCGCATTCCGGCGCTGCCTGCGGGACAGTGAGTGCCAGTGGGCGAGCCTGAGGGAGGGCGGCTGAGCCCGGGCGGGTTCCCAGGCCGGCGCCCCATGCCGCCCGGCGCTCTTAGCCAGCTCGTGCCTATGTTTGCAGAGAGAAGAGCTGCACAGCGCAAGGCCGAAGCGCCAGCCAGGCAGGTGAAGTGCAGCAGACCCGAATGAGCCTTCTGGAAGCCCAAGGGGAAGAGGCACCTGCTTTACAAAGTTTTAAATTTGTATTACAAAGGGAAAGGGGGGAAAAAAAAAGAACCAAAAAGTGGGTCTGATAAGCATGCAGTATGGAGGACTGGAGGGATAGCTCATTGGCTAAGAGGACTGGCTGCTCTTCCTGAGGACTCAGCACCCACATGGTAGCTCACAGCCATCTCTAACTCCAGTCCCTGGGGATCTGTCGCCCCCTTTTTGTCGTCTAGAAGGCACCAGGCATGGGCATGGTGGCAGACATACGTGCTGGCAAAGCACCCAAGCACAGAAAAAAATAAGTTTTTGTTTTAAGTGTGAACAGTTCTTGATATACACGTGTGCAGGTTCAGCACGTGGGTGGATGAGACAGGAGAGTTCAAGGTTAGCCTGGGCCAAAGGAAACACAAATGAAAAGAGAAAGACATCTGTGAAAAAAGAAGGGCAACTTGAACATTCCCATCGATCTCCGTAGGATGTAGGATACCTAGGTCCCCAGGCCAGCCAACATAGAGTATGACTGACTGGTTGAGTTTTTATTATTATTATTATTATTTTTCAGACAGAGGGTGAGGATGGCCCACATGCAAAGGTCTGAAGACAGTTTTAAGAGGGTCCATTCTCTCTGCCTCTGGGTCCCAGGTATCTAACTCAGGTTTGGTGGAAAGGGCTTCTTTCCTGCTGAGCTGCCACTGTCCTGATTGGACGTTTTAAAACTGTCTTTTCTTCTAATGTGTATGGATGTTTTTCCTGCCATATATGTCTATACACTCTGGCCATGCCTGGTGCCTGTGGGGGTCAGAAGAGGGCACCTGAGCCCTTGGAACTGGAGTTAAGAAGGCTGCGGACAAGCCAGCCCAGTGGCATATGCATGCCTGTGATCACTCAGCAGAGGCTGGCGGATCTTGAGTCCAGGACAGCCAGCCTTGAAAAACAAACAAACAAAAAAACAAACAAAAAAAAAAAAAAAAAAGAAGAAGAAGGCTGTGAACTACCATGTAGATACCTTGGTAGTGGATCCTTGGTCCTCCAAGAAGAGCAGCCAGTGATCTTAACCACTGAGCCATCTCTCCAGCCCCCTCCCCATTAGTTATTTTTAAAGAGAATTTGGCCATCTTGGCTATAGGCCCAGCTTTCATGAACTCAAAAGTGTGAGAGAATTCCCACCCTTCCATCTTTAGCCTGTGCCTATTTCATGTCCTATATGCGGGAAGGGAAGGTTTAGCTGAGATCAACGGTCACAGGGGAGTAAGAACAACCCCAAAGCAAGGCAGTGGACAAAGCCAACAAATGTAACAGGAGCCTGGGGAAAGACAGAACCCTTTCAATGTGGAATTAGTACAGCGGCTATTCAGCGGCTATTTACTTATTGTTTGGTTTAGCATTGTTCGGTTAAGCTCGGTGTCTTTAAAATAATACTCGGCTTCCGAATCTGCAGTCTGAGCAGGTATGGGTGGAGAAGAACAGTTTTGCTCTATTCAGCTTCAGCGAGGCTCGCTTCAGCCCTGGAGTGAGTCGGTTGAGTCAGTTATCTGAAAACACATTCCCTCCCGTTGGCCTGTTGATGCTGAGCGCTCACGTAGGTTGGAACTGTTGGCGTGCGCCTGCATGTGACCTTGTCATGCAAGTCTGTGGCTCCTTACCGAACGCTGGTTTGGGCTCCCAGGGGGTAAGCGGACAGGTCTAGATGCTGTGCATTCTCTGGACACGGCAGAGAGCAGCAGCGTGTAGGAGCGTGCAGAGCCGGGAGAACGTGCCGGGAGAACGTGCCGGGAAGCACCTCTCCTCGCTGTGCTCCACTCCATTTCAAGCAGAGAGGAAACACACTCCGGCTCCTAACAGAGAGACGAGGTTCTGGAAACATGTTTACACAGGAAATATTGCCATGACTGGTTTTGGAAAATGCGATTTTTCTACGTAAGGCTCTGGGGCTGTCATTGATCTGAGTCAGGAATGATACTGAATTTGGGGCACAGGATCAGGGAAGCCTCCAGGGCTGGAGGTGTTGCACATGACCGGGGTTTAAAATAGGGGGTGTGCCAGGTCTGGTCAGTAAGTCAGACCGCCAAAGGAATTGCTGGGAAGAACAGTGTCTGATAAGGTTGAGCTAAGCAAGGCAGAATCAGAGGAGGCTTGGTCCAAAGGCCAGGTTAAGGGATCCAGACTTAATAGGAAATCACTGATGATTTGTGAGCAGGAACAATTTTTTTTTAAAGAATAAAAGGGAAACAAATAAAAGAAACAAAACTCTTAAGCATAGGTGTGCTAGGATTAGAAAAGAGAGTAGCTATTGCAGCAACATATAGGAGCAGCAATAAAAATCAAACACCTTTAAGCCCAAGACTCGGGAGGCAGAGGCAGGTGGATCTCTGAGTTCAAGGCCAGCCTGGTCTACAGAGCAAGCTCTAGGACAGCCACGGCTACAAAGAGAAACCCCGTTTGAAAAATCAAATAAATAAATAAACAAGCAAGCAAACAAATAAAATGAGTAGTTCATGCTGACTGGTTGGAGGACTGAGCAAAGGGAAAAAAAATAAAGGACTATTCATTGACACAGTTCAGGAAGCAGACAGGGAGTGTTGAGGGAGCCGGACATGTGTGCACAGATGCCATCCTTAACCAGCTGACTTGGACAGAGTCTGGTGCAGGTCCTGTCCTTCTTCCTCTGCATCCACAATTGTTGCCCTGGCACAGTTATGTGTGTGTGAATGTTTGATTAATGTTTCCTATTTATTAGACGAGGCTCCTCATAAGCTTGTCTGCATTTTGCTCTCCATTGACTCTGTATCTACAATAGTGTCTGGCACATTTGTATTTGTAGCAACTGCTGAACACTGTGGCAAGCACAGAGAAACAGCTTGTGTGGAGGCACACATGGGAAACCGCAGTATCTAAGGCATGCTATCGTAAAAGAGACAGCTGAGTGCCAGTTTGGTGTCATCTTGGATAGAGAAACTATTGTGGTGCTGACTTATTTTCAAGAATAGTTGTGATAACGCAGAAAAGCAAGTCTGGCTTAGACATGAGGAAAACCCAAATGACTTTAGGTATGGTAGATGCAGGGCTTTTCAGATGGTTTTTCCACCTAAATCTTTGTTCGGATTTCGAGACAGGGTTTCTCTGTGTAGCCCTGGCTGACCTGGAACGCAGAGATCCCCTTGCCTCTGCCTCCCCAGTGCTGGAACTAAAGGTGTGTGCCACCACTGCGCAGCCAAAGATTGATTTATGCCTGTGTGTATGAATGTATGCATGCCGGGTAAGCACCAGTGATCCTGGAGGCCAGAAGAGGGTGTCGGATCCCACTGTGGGTGCTGGGACCTGAACTCCAGCCCTCTCAAAGAATGGCAGGGGTTCTTCACAGCTGAGCTGCCTGCCCAGTCCTTTTCCACCAAGTTCTTAATACAACGTTGTCATCTTGTAGACGAATAAACCAAAGCAAATACCCTCTCCTCATCTCTGCTGCTGATTCCTTTCTCCTCACACTAGGACCTAGTTTCCCCACCTGTGCTCGGCAGGCCTACCTAGGGCCACAAGAAACAAAAAACTGCAGAAGCCAAGCCATGTTGTGGTGGGACCTGCAACCCAGGACATTTAGGGATCTTAGGCAGGAGTATTGTGAGTTCAAGGCTAGCTTGAGTTGCCCAGCAAAATCTGTCCTAACAGGGCTGGGAGACAGCTCATTTGTCCAGTGTTCACTGAGCAAGGGTGAGGACCCGAGTTTGATCCCTAGGACCCACACTAACAAAAAACCAAGAACAGAACTGGTTGTGGTGGGGTGTGTCTGAAATCCCAGTACTTGGGGAGTTGGAGACAGGTGGATCTCTGTCTCAAAAAGCAGGGTGGGGTGCTGGAGAGAGGTCTCAGTGGCTAAGATCACTGGCCGCTCTTCCAAATGGAGCCAGGTTCAAGTCTCAGCACCCATGTGGCAGTTATCTCCTGTAACTCCCATTCCAGGGGATCGATACCCTCATAGAGACATCCAGGCAAGCAAAACGCCAATCAAGGTGGATGGCCTCCTAAGGAATGACACCCAAGGTTGTTCCTCTGGCTTCTACCTGCATGGACACACTTGCACACTTGAACTCACACACATAAAACACAAAACATGCAGAACAAACATAACAGAGTAAACAAAAACCACTTTAGATGGATCAAGCCATCAGACAGTGAGTCTAAAGACTGTGGTGGGCCCAAGTAGCACCTAAGAGCTTGCTGGAAATACTGACTTCTAAGCCCCGACCCCACATTTATTTTGTAGGTCTGGATGGAGCCTGAGCACTAGAGTTTGTATTGTTTATTTGTATTGTTCATCAAAGGTTATTGATCTTCATATCTCAGGTGTTCTTTTCTGAGGAACCATCCTTGATTCTCCACCCAAAAGTAATGTTTTTTTTGTTTTTGTTTTTTTTTTCCTCCCAGGCTGGCCTTGAACTCAGAGATCCACCTGTCTCTGCCTCCCAGAGTTCTAGGATTACAGATGTGCACCATTGATCCAGCTTCAAGTAACGCTTCTTATCTGGAGCTGGCAAGACATTAGACTTGGTGCAAGACCTGCTGCCAATCCTTCTCTAGACTACGGGTGGGAGCTAGGCTCACGGGTCTCCTCGCTCCCTCCAGTTGTTTCTAGATCTCTGCCCTGGCTAGTGCTCATTCAACACATGCCCAGTAAAACCTGTCATCACAAATTTTCCCCATTTTAACTGACCACAGGCAGCCCCTTTTCAGGCTTGTACGAAAGACCAGCTCCTAGGCACAGTATCCTTGATGATGTTGGCTGCCTTCCTGAAACAGGCTGCAGCAAAACCAAGTGTTCTAAGCAGTCCGCCACCCCACCCCACCCAACAATGTACCTTGAGAGTGTGTGAGTACAAAAGCTTTTGTTAGCTTGACTAGGAATTACAGGCAAATGACAAAATGACCCCACAGACCAGAAAAATCACTGCTGCTAAATTAACAGGCACTGCTGTTACCACAGGCAAGAAAATGAGCCTTCAACAGACAAAGCTACTGTCACTACATCAATACCAAGTCCTGCTGTTAAAAGGTGGCACTGCTAAAAGAGCTCTCCTAACTGATGCCATGTTATTTTTTTGTCACCTGTCACCCACTGGGTTTAGAGATCAGTTTATCTTTGAGCTAGGGCTTCATTTTGTAGTCTTGGCCGGTGTGGAATGTTCTCAATAGTCATTCTGCCCACCTGCCTTCGCCTCCCAAGTGCTGAGAATACAAATATGTTCCACCAGCCTGGCCTAAGAGATACTTCTTATTAAATGTATGTATGTATTTATTTGTTAAGAGGTACTTTAAAATAAAAAATTAATTATGACAATAAGTATATACCTTACATTAATCACTCATTGTTACATATTTTTATAAATTCCTTTAGTCATGGGATCTACCAAAGGACAAACTACAAGAATTTTTTTTGCAAGAGGTGCAGATGGGAAAACTTTGTTTAGGTAGAGGTAAGACTAAAACATTTTGTTATATGTTTTTAATAATTTTTCTTCAAAAACTCTTTGATTAGCAAGGCATGGTGTGATATACTTCTAAACCCAGTACTTGGGAGGCAGAAGCAGGAGGACTGACTTTGAGGCTAGCTTGGACCATTACACAGTAAGAGAAAATAAAAAGCAAACACTGACTAACATTTGAAATCAGGTAAATTAGCTAGATGTGGTTACTGGCTCACTGCAGTACAGGAAGCTGTCTCAGAAGCTTGACTTGGCGCTACTGTCCGCATCCCCCATGTTAGTTAGCACTGCTGTGCTGAATCTTAGAAGTAGGGAAATAGGGAACAAAGACGAATATCAAAAGTTTAAGTTAAAAATTCTAGAAAATGAAATTCCTACATTAGCAAAAAATTTTTTTTTGTTTGTTTGTTTCTCTGTGTAGCCCTGGCTCTCCTGGACTCACAATGTAGACAAGGCTGTCTCAAACACACAAAGGTCTGCCTGCCTCTGCCTCCCCGAGTGCTGGGATCACAGGCATGTGTCACTGTGCCTGGTTTAAGAAACAACTTTTAACCTGGGTACGGTAGAACATACTTGTAATCTCAAAATTCAGAAAGCTGAGGTGAGAGCTCTGGGAATTTCAGGGTAGGCTGGGTTACAGAGTGTCTCCAAAAGTTATCTAAAATGCATTATAAAAAAATTTCCTGCCAGATAGAGTGGTGCATGCCTTTAAGCCCAGCATTTGGGAGGCAGAGGCAAGAGGTTGAGTTCAAGACTAGCCTGATCCACTTGTGAGCTGCAGGAGAGGGAGAGAGGGAGATTGAATATTCTGAACTTTCAGTGACAAAAATAATTACAAATGGCCATTATACTGTTTAATTTAGTGTGGGGCCAAGAGGGACCTTAGGTTTTATGACCACAACTGTGCTGTGTCATAACTTCCACTTAATTCTCAAAGCACCTCATAACATGGTTAGAATGATAGTAGGTGCTATGATTGGATAAGGGATGACTGATATTGTTGGAGATTAATTTTATATTCAATAAATAAGATGTATTTTCCCCAAGTTTTGTAAGTAGGAACTTATAAATATCATATCAGCAAACATTTCTTTTTAATTCACTTAACTGTTTTGCCTGCATTAAGTCTGGCCTCAAAGACCAGATGACATCTCCTGGAGCTCGAGGAATAGAGGATTGTGAGCCACCATGTGGTAGCTGGGAATTGAACCCAGGTCCTCTGGGGTGGCTGAGCTACTTCTCTAGTTCCACAATGCCTATTTTCTACCTGAAAAAAATATTTAGTTATTATTATACTTATTGTATGTATAATTAATGAATAATTAAATAATTATACATTAACCATAATAATTTAAAGTTTACTCAATTTTGATTTTTGCTTTCAGATAGTCATTTTTTAAATTTTTTTTTTTTTTTGAGACAAGGCATTCTTTGTATAGCCTTAGGTGTCCTGGACTCTTTGCAGAGCAGGCTGGCCTCGAACTCAGAAATCTGCCTGCCTCTGCCTCCCCAAGTGCTGGGATTACATGCATGTACCACCAGGCCTGGCTGAGTCGTTTTTAATGAACTAAGATTAAGCTCTATTGATGAAGTCAGAACTGGCATGGTGATACAGGAGCAACCCTACATAAACTAGTGGAAGTCACGTTAAATATCTCCACTTTTTTCAGGTACCAGAGAAATTTTTTATTCATAATTTTATGGGTTTTTCCTAAACAGGATTCCTCAAACTGTATAAGCTAGGGGCTCAGAAAGTTGGGGTTAATGGTTAGCTGTGCCTGCAGTGCAGCTCAATGATAGACCTCGAGTTCAATTTCTGATCCCGACATGGGGGTGAGACAGAACACTCTAGACACTTCCTGGACGTGGGGAGACTAAAATGGGCGAAACCTTTCAGCTTTACCTTTGATTGAAGATGTGAAGTGGCAGGAGTTTGAGGCCAGCCTGACAAAGCGATTTTCAGACCAGTCAATGCTACATGGTGTGACCTTGTCTCAAAACACTCCACCGAATGAGGCTGGAGAGATGGCTCCGTGGTAGGCGCACGGGCTGCTCTTCCAGGGGACCTGGGTTCCCTCCCTAGCACCCGTATGTATACTGGCTCCAACATTTATTAAACTCCAGTCCAGGGGAACTCAATGCCCTTTTTCTGGCTTCTGTTGGCACCATGCATGCATATAACGCACAGATACACATGCAGCTAAAACACCCACACACAACAAATAAATGCATTTTAAATACGAACACACCAGATGTTTCGTCTCTCATAGTTTACAAATCAAACATGGACAGTCTACCTCATATTAGTAAAAATAGATAGCCATCCTGAATGACCCAAATACAGAACATGTGTGCAATGTGCAAATCTAAAACACGAGTAAACTCGTGTAACTTCTCTAATTATTCACACTGCAGCTTCACACAAAACCCGGTCTTTTCCTTCATACTTGCGCTCTTGACTCATCATGGGATTTGTATAGTCATTAGTTTGATATGCATTGAACTTTGTTTTTGGAGACAGGCCAGGGTTTTTTTTTTTTTTTTTTTTTCTTTCTTTTTTCTTTTTGTTTTTGGAGACAGGGTTTCTCTGTGTAGCCCTGGCTGTCCTGAATTCGCTCTGTAGACCAGGCTGTCCTTGAACTTATACAGATCCACCTGAGTCTGCCTCCCAAGTACTAGAATTAATGGTGAATGCCACCACCATTGCTGCCATATACATTTAACTTTAACGTTTGCTGCTTTCTTGGTAATTTGTATTTAAAGGTATACACTCTAAAGTGTATTAAACTTTGGCCTAAGGTCCGGAGAGATGGCTCAGCAGTGAGAAGGCCTACTGTTCTTGCGTGCCAGGGCACTAGCCTGTCGGAGGCTCCAGTTTTATCTGCAGCATTCCCATCAGGCAGCTCATGACCATCTGTAACTCCCTTTCCAAAAGGCTGGTGTGGTGGTATATATCTTTAATCCCAGCATTCAAGAGGTGGAAGTGGGAGGATCGCTTAGGAGTTTGAGGCCAGCCTGGTCTAATAGCAAGCCAGGACTACATAGAGGCCCTACCCCAGAACACACATACATCCCAAACTCAAGTTCCACATAATCAGACTTCCTTTTTTCTGCCTCTGGAGGCATTGCACTCAAGTGTACATACACACTCATGATTATTAAAACGGTAACTATTTTTCCTTTGCCTAAAATGTACCAATCTGTTTCAGGGGAAAGTAGAATGGGGGTTGAACATCTCACCAATGCCCTTTTAATGTGTGGGCAACCGAAGGAGCTTCTGGCGCATTTCAAACAAACACTCCCTCCTGAGGTATTTGAGATGCTATTGTACAAAATTCCCCTTATTTGCCAGGTGAGCATGTATTTAATTGTCCTTCTGAAACATATACAGTAAATAGCAATGGGGGACTTGATTACAGAGAAACACTGACTCTGCATGTAGACCCTCTAAAGTTCTTAAGTAGTATTTATTTCTGGTTCTAGTCTTTCCTTCAGGTAAGCCCAGCCTATTTTCCGAGTTCTGCTGCTGTGAATAGTGGGCTTTGTGACTGTTTTAACATTTCAATTTTGAAGCAGGGTGGCAAGAAACACAGAAATGGCTTTGTTAATTTAAGCATACCAGTGCTGTTGTATAATGTGACTTTAGATTGGTAACTATTAAATAAAGTCCATTTGTAAGCTGTTTCTTTTACCAGCTTGGTTAAAAAATAAAACAAAACAAAGTAGGTATACCTATCAGCTAGAATTTCCTGAGAATGCTTGAATTTGTGTCCTAATTTGTTAGCCATAAGATACAAATTTAACTCTGGTTCATTTTATACTGGTCACATTAGTTGTGTGCTGCTGTTTACACGCAAACCATTGATGTTGGCGGTGTATGTGTGTGCGTATGCACACGTGTGTCTCGCACAGGCACCATGGCGTAAGTGTAGAGGAGAGAGGGCAACTTGGGTTAAGTCTGTTCTCTCCCTCCATCACATGCTTGCTGCAGATGGAGCTCAGGCTGTCGGCTGGTACCAAGTGACTTTAGCTGCTGAGCCCTCACTAGCCTGGACTCTGAATTTTAAGCAAAGTACAAGACTCTCCTGACATGACAGTGAAAAACATTTCCAATCTAGCCTCGGCAGGAATGTCCCCTCCAGGGTTATGAAAACATAGCTAGGATAAGGGTATGCAATGTCTAATCTGACAGTAGAGAGAGAAAGAAATGCTTCCTTGTGCCTTGAGATGATTAGCAAGTAACTGTTTTGTGTATTTACCAGCAATTTGAGGCAGACATACATGAACAGAAGCACTGGAAGGATGATCCTGACTGAACACATCTCAGCGCAGCCACAACCCAGTCACAATACTGTGTTCTGTATAGTAAAAACAACTGCTCAGTGATATTCTCATTTATTTTTACTTTTAGTAATAAATTTTTTCTATCTCATACATGATTGGACACATTTTGCTTTTAAAATTAACAGTCACAAAGAAAGGAACAGTGGTTTATTTCTGTAATCAAGGTGACCAGCAGCTGAATCTTAAGGCCTCGACAGTGTTGCATCTTACCATTTTACTGCACAGTAGTAAGGCCTTCTGCTTTGATTCCTTCTGGTGAGCAGTGATCTTTCTCCGGTGGTTTCCACTGGTCAGGCAGTCCTGACAGATGATGTACCACGCGTCCTGCTGTGTGTCAGGGGATTCTACCAGACGAATCCTCATCTCCAGTGCAACAGCTGCTGGCAATCTTTCAGTGCAAGTCCATGCCTCAGGGCCTGTCTACCGTGGCTGGCCCAGGAGCCCTGCTTTGGCTGCCAGGGCTTCGTTCTGCTGAATATGATATTCCTGGAATCTCATGGATATTCTCTGTGTCATTTTTAAATATTTCTGTAAGCAATGTTCTGAACAGGTAACCTAGAAATACAAGGGGGATATCCAACATGTAAGAGAAAAATAAACATCTTGTACCCTGCAGGAGCCAACAGTGGGAACTTTGCTTTTTGGGGTAGCTCTACAATTAAGTGCTATCCTTGGTTTTCAATAACCACAGCTTTAAGCTTTCATCCGCTGACAACAATTAAAGTTTATGATATCTCTACTAGTCTATAGGTATCAGGAGCACTGGTGAGCTCTGCCTTCATAACGAGGTTGGACTAGATATTCTATAACTTCGAGGCCCTCAACCCTAGCTAGCTCCTTATTTAGACTGATATATACCCAGTAGAAGGTTTGTTCCTTTTTAATGAGAAACTTGCTTCTGCACATTCTTAAGGCACAACCTTTACTTTTCTCTTGAGCAAAGTCTTGTTGTGCAGCCAGGTCAGGTGTGGGATATCAAAAAAATCTTCTGATTTAGCCTCTCAAATGCTGAGTTTCCAAGCATGCTTAACCTCACTCAGCTTCCACTCTTTTCTTTTTAATATCAACTGAGGTGACCCAAGCTCAGATGGAAAGCATCTTCCAGGTCCTCTCTCACATGCAGATCCTAGCCTGTAACGTGTATGTGTATATAAGGAAATAAGTACAATGTGCGTAATGCCCAAAATTCATACAGGACACCAAGAGAAGGTGAACATTAGGTGCTAAAGAAAGTTGTGAACTGTAGGACACAGCTCAGTCATGAAAAAGGATCATAAAGCTATTTTCTTCTAGTTTTAACCTGTCAGAATTTTTATTTTTTCTCAGGGTGGATCTGTGAGTACAAGTTTCTGGGTGTTCACATAGCAAGAACCACTTTGCATTGGGAAGGAATCTCACATGTTAGTCCTCTGAGGCAGGAGCTGAAAGCTGGGTATGCTTTCCAGTCCCATCAGCCACCCATGCAGTGGGAACTCAACATGAGTGCTCCCCGAGCATGTCTCCTCCACTCTGAAAAGCTGTTAGGGGGAGGGGTCTGCAACCTTAATTTTTTCAGATTAAATTATATCAAAACATTAACCGTAGTGTTGTTAAATACGTAAATTGTATTGCTTTAGATACAGTATGGTTTTAAAAAACAAGAGTATCACATGATCAAAGTCCATTGTACACAAGTATGAAATCGGCAAGGAATAGCTAAAACATATTCCTTTAAAGAAATGAGTGTCATATTTGGTATCTCTTCTAAACTTTTTACGTTCAATCACCTAACAAATGAGATCCTGGCCCAAACTGGGAACGGTCGTCACCCTGAGCACATATATAAACACGGCCAAACACACTCGAGCTGAGGTGCCAGTCAGCGCTGGGTTGACGTCTACGTGTGCACTGTGTGCTGCCGCACTCGCGCGGTGCTTTTCTCCTCAGGGCCAGACAGAAGCTCCTCCAAGCTTCTGGAGTGCTGCTGTCTTGACAAAAATAAAGAACGCAGCCGCTCCACGCTTGATCTAGAAAATGGTCTGCCTTGATGCAGTGTGACTGTCAAATTCAATGTGGCACCATTAATGTTGGTGCCAAGGGTTCCTGACCGCTTTGGTTCCTCTAAGCCATGGCATGGAAACGGCAGCTCCGTCAGTAGGAGCAAATGAAATGCTTAGATGGAGTCTATGATTTATGACAAGCTTGGGGAATTTTTAGTGAGTAACACTTTCATACCTCTTCAGGTTTCACCTCTCTTGTTGTGAAGTCTTTAACACAGTCCAAAAAGCAGGTTTCTGTAAGTTTATTGTAGGTTCCCAGGAACTCCTTAAACTATAAATAAGAAGTGCTTTAAAACCCGGGCTTTACAGTAGAGATGCTCTGAAACTTTCTGATACGGAGACAGTCTATTCTGGCACACCCTTGTCTTCCCCTCCTGCCTTTGGATTCTTCTGCTGACCTGAGTAGTACAACATGTGCTCTAACTCTGTGGTTGCACCTTTCTCAACTGCTGCTCTAATACCGAGTTTTTACACCAGCTACAATAGGGTGATGTCTGATCCCCTGAGGTGGAGGATCACTTGAGTCTAAAGGGTTGGAATCTGAGCAACAGAACATAATTTGGACTCAAAAGCAAAACAGAAAATGCTTTCTCACCTATCATACATTTTAATGTTTTTAAGTGTGGTTTTGGACATAAAAGCTACATTCATATATTCTTTGTTTTTTAACTCATAATAACTCTACCCACAACCATGTAGCTCAAGCTAGTATAATCTTTCAGTGTGGGTTTTCCTTTCTTTCTTTTTTTCCAACGGCGTTTCTGTGTAGCCCTGGCTGTCCTGGAACTCCCTTTGTAGACCAGGCTGGCCTTGAACTCACAGATATCTGCCTGCCTCTGCTTCTTAAGTGCTGGGATTAAAGAAGAGCACTGCTACCGCCTGGCCTGCCTGGGCTCTCAGACAGGCACCACAAGCAGATATTACCTGTTTTTGGAAGTGAAATAATAAACATTTAAACTATGGGATCGCTGACTGACACAGCTATAGTTATTGTCATCCAATATTTCCCAACCCACCCCTACTGCCCCAGTGTCTGTACACAGCCCTGGCTGTCTTGGAACTCACTATGTGGACAGGGCTGGCCTTGAGCTCAGAGAGATCGGCTGACCTCTACCTTCTGAGTGGTGGGATTAAAGGCATGCACCACTACAACTGACCGAGATCCTTTTCCCTTAATGATAGTATCTTACCTGTTTTATCTGGTCAGATTCTGGTATTTGTGCAGCCATGTTCTTTCAGTATGTTTCTTAGTCACCTTATTTCAAAGTTAAAAAACAAAACAAAATAAAACTTGTCAATTTATAGATGTATTTTTAAGCTATAATCTCACCAATTTTAATGACAACAGACCCCCCCCCCCCCCCCCGACAGGGTTTCTCTGTGTAGCCTTGGCTATCCTGCAACTCACTATACAGACCGGGCTGATCTTGAACTTACAGAGCTCTACCTGCCTCTGCCTCCCAAGTGCTGGGATTAAAGGTGTGTGCCACCACTCTTGACAACAGTTTTTTCCTCTCCTTTCCTTCTTCTCTCCTCTCCCTTTTCCTTCCTTCCATCCTTGCGGGGGTAGAAGTTGGGGGGTGGGAGGAGCATTTGAGACAGGGTTTTTCTGTGTATTCTTGGCTGTCCTGGAACTCACGCTATAGAACAGGCTGTCCTCAAACTCAAAGAGTTCTGCCTCCTGAGTGCTGGCGTCAAAGGCATGTGCCACCATACTGACAACAATTTATTTGCCTGGCAGGAGTGGCCACTCACCTTTAACCCCATCACTCAGGGAGGTGGAGGTAGACTAATCACTGTGACTTCAAGGCCAGCCTGGGTCTACAGAGTGAGTTCCAGGACAGCCAAGGCTACACAGAGAAACCCTGTGTCGAAAAGAAAAGAAAAGACAAGAAGGGAGAAAGGGAAGAGGAAGGGAAGGAGGTAGGAAGAAAAAGAAGAAGAAGAAAAGACACCAATTTATTTCTTAATGCTAGCTACAGGACTCAAAGGCTGAGCCTTAATTAAATCTCTAATACTAAGCCAGTGTCCTACTGTCATAGTAGGGATTTAAGGAAAACCAAGAAAATTCTTAAATTCTTCCTAAACTTTCCTAACTGTCCTATTAGTGTCAACTTAACTCTAACCTGTGTTACTAATTTACATAATACAAAAGCCCTATCAACTGCTGACAAATACCACTTAGTCTTAACAAATCCTACGTATGATCAAATCAACACTGGCCCATAAAAGTTTAGAGTTTTCAAAGTTAGAGGATTATGCATTCTTATATGGAATTGAAACTAAATAGGACCATTACAGACAGTTGTAAGGTGCCATCCGAGTGCTGGGAATTGAACTTCGGTCTTCTGCAAGAGCTCTTAAACCCCGAACCAGTTCTTCACTTCCAGTATTCTCATTTTGATTAAATCATGTAAAACACCATAATCCCACTCACAACCATGTACCACACACACCGGATTTTTCCTTCCTTTTATGTTAGTGATGACTACTGACATTTAAAAAAAGTCATCCATAAGGGACAGCATTAGATCTTCTGCACTTGCTATGCTGGTCTCATTCTACATGTTACAGCTCGGTATTCTCTGAAGAAATGATAATGAAAAACATAATTGTGTTTACTTCAGAGAATGCCTTAACAGTTAGTGTGCCAGGAAAGACAGTACTGCAAGTTCATGGGTACTGCAAAGGGCCCTGACCAGTTAGAGAAACAGGTCTCTACAAACATGATGCAATGTTCTCTAGGAACACAGTACAGATGTGCTTTTTCTTTATCCGTTGTTGGTAGAATGTTCTTGTGGAATGTACACGATTTACCCTTGTTCATTCAAATGCTGATTTCTCTACCCCACTGCGTGGTTTCAGCCTGGATACTGCATTACGATGCTTATTCTAAGCATCACCTGTCTCAAGTTTGTGTAAACATGCGACCATTTGTTCTCTGTATTGCCAATAAAAACAACCAGCCAATGCCGAGCAAGGGAGAATAGAGTGGGACATCCTGTTCTGGAAGGGAGGAGAAAGACGGAGAGTGGGAGGAGAGATCTGAGAGGACAGGACCTGGAAACATCAGGAGAAATGATCTGGACCTAAGATATGTATAATGTGGGAAATCTGAATGGGAGGGAGCTATGCAAGCTTGGAGGTTTAGGACAGAGTAATAACTGCCCCATATTTTGCTCAAGGTTAATGAAATATTCTAGTCTCTGTGTGGTAATTTGGGTATATAGCTGGTTTGGGAATAACCACTTTTTAAAAGATAAATCAATATTAAATACTAATAATCAACAATCCGTTCTCCATGTATAGCTAGAAAGCACACACAAAGGAAATATAAGAAAACAGAGGTAGCGAGAAAGCAGCAGACTGGCTTGTGGCCTTGGGATCTAAGAAACACAGGGATGAGTTCTATGTGCTTTCTGTTTTGCCTTAGAGACTTAAAACTGAAGCTGCTGGCAACCTCCACAGGGGATCGATAAGAAATCAGACTGCTCTGAAAGTATAGTCTAACAAAACGCCCACAAAGGATCACAAAAGACAGACATTATTTTATATATAAACCACTGTACTAGCAAACAATATCATTAGGTGTTTGCTAGAGGCTGCAGTGAGCTACTCTGACACTTGGACTAGAGTGGTGTCAAGAGAAGGCTGATAGAGAACAGGGGATTTTATTCCCATTGGGCAGGAACAAGATCTTCTAATATGTTAGTAGAAATCTTACAAGACTAGGTTCTATCCCAATGGGCAGTACCAAGGTACTGGTCTTCCTCTCCTTTGGGGTACTATCAAAGAAGGCCTGGCTGAGATTCAGGGTTTTCTTTACTGCCTTTCTCCCCATGACAAGCACGCCTCTTGTGGTAGTAGGAGAGGCCACACAGGGAGTGGTAATGAGATACTTTAGCTTCACTCAGCTAGGGAAATAGTCATGAATAGGTCTTCTAATCTGGCCATAGACATAAACCAACATATTCAAGCAGATGACTGAACCTTGAACAGCATTAACTCAATGAAATCCACATTAAGGTAAATTACTTACCCAAAAGGTATTTTTTTTTTTCTTGAGATATTTGTTTTCCCTTGAGACAAGGGCTCACAGTGTAGCTTGCATCTGCTTTAAACTCACGTTCCTCCTGCCTTGGTTTCCCGAGTGCTGGAGATTATGCTAAAAACTTTTTGATAAAATTCAACCCACATTCCTACTAAAAGACAGTAGTTGCTATTAAGACTGTAAGGAAGCAGCTCACTGTGTGAGGAGTAATCCCAGCCTTAGGGAGGTGGAGGATTGGCCTAGGCTACAGAATAAGTTCAAGGCAACCTGGGTGAGTTTCATGAGACTTTGTTCCAAAAAGGCTGTAGACAAAGAGAGATGTCTGCTACAATGTACGGTGAGAACATTACTAGGTATAATGAAGGAAGAAAGGGAGATATAATATACACAGACTGAAACAGGAGAGCCCAGATCTGTCCCAGTCTAAGATGACACAGAAACTCCAAACAATCTACACAGAACTGGAAACCAACCCGGGAGCCCAGCACAGTCTTAGCTGATATTAAAAAGCCAAACTACACTTCTATTTACTAGCAATGACCACACACACATGCAGTGGAATTAAATATAAGTGCTGTGAGCCCCTTCCGGGAAGACTTAGCAATCAGCATGTCAAAATGTGTACAACATATCTTGAAAACCATTAAGGAAAAATAACAGTCAACCTCCATCCTCTCCAATGAAGAGGAAGTAGTTGGCAAACAAAAAATTAACTCAATGCTATTTTTGAGGGCTTTTTGCTTAATTTTGCTTGGTTTTAGCATCTTTTGTTTATTTATCTTTTGTCTCTTTGATTTTTGTTTTTGTGGAGGTTGTTTCTTTCTTTCTTTCTTTTTTTTTTTGAAATAGAAAAAGAGCATGAAATTGGATAGGTTAGGAGGTGAAGAGGACCTGGGGGAATGGGAAACTATTAGAATATATGAAAACAAAAATTTTTAACTAAAAGGAACTATCAGAAAAAGAGGCACGATTGCAATGTAAATTTCCTTCAAACTGATAAACACACTCCAATTCTTATTATAATCTCAGGAAGGTTTCTTATACAGGGAAGATGATGCTAATCAAAAGGACGAAATGGAGACTAAACTGGGAGGAATCAATTTACTTGGTTTTAAAAAATCACATAGCTAGTAATCAACAATCAATGGAGTGAAAAAAATAAATTCCAAAAGATTATATACTGTGTGACTCTGTTTATGAAATGTTCTTTTTCCTTTTCTCTGACCATGTAATGCTGACCAGATCACAACTCACTACATAGAGCAGCCTGGCCTCAATCTCAGAGATCCTCCCACTTCTGACTCCAGAGTTCAGGGATTAAAGGCGCACCAACATGCCTGGCTGAAATATTTTTGGAATGAAAGATGACATGCATGTGAACACAGCAGTGCTTGCTACTGGCTATAGAAGGAAGGGGTTGAAGAGGAGTGGTATTGTTTTTTGAGGGCAAGAACAGAAACCTATGAAGTGGAAATGTGTCTTGATGCTACATCAGAATCTGTATCCTGGGCGAGACACCATACTCTAGCTATGTAAGATGTTATTCTTGTGCAAAGCCAGGTGAAGTGAAGCACAAGTGATCTCTATATCACCACTCTGTATGAGCCTGTAATCATCTCAGAATGAGAAGGCTGGAGAAATGCTCACAAGTGCTTGCTGCTCTTCCAGACAACTACAAGTTCCTAGCACCCGTGCCACCAGGCAGCTCACAAGCACCTGCAACTCCAGCTCCAGAGGATCTGGCACCCTCTTCTGGCTGCTAAGGGCATTTGCATACATGTGGCAATATAACTTGGATAGAGAATTAAGTAGCAAACGAAGCTACTGTTTGACGGGACTTTAACATGTGAGGATGAACAGGCCTGCTTTAACAACACCCTGCCAACTGTAACACTCATTACTCAAGAAACAGCAAACCAGACTATCTACAGTTCACACTGAAAAGGACACATCTGATTTCCTTACTTATAGGTCCTTAGACACATGATAACTAATGCCAAGATCTGGTTCTTTTCCCTACTTCTGGCCTTGTGTTTCTTCATGTTAAAATTCTTTACTTTTTCAGCAAGAGGTGAGTAGCAAGATACAGGGAATCTTCAAGTGTTCTGTGTCAGGGATTGGTATACCGGGATGTCCCAACTTTCTCACGGTGCTGGTGTATATCTACTACTGGTGACAATCACATGTACCCCAGGCTAGCCTCCAACTTGTTCTATAGCCAAGGATGACTTTGAACTCCTGATCCTCCCAGCCATACTCCCCAAATTCCAGGATTATAGGTGTGTTCCACCATACCCAGCTAAGTGATTTTTTTCTTATACTTATTTATTATTTTTAAATTTTTTCTCATTTATTTTACATCCTTTCTTCCCTCCCAGTCCTATCCTGTCTCCCTCCTTTCTTCATCCATCCCAGCTCATTAGGGTGCATCAGGACTGAATGTGTGCTCTTCCCCTATGGCCTGTCAAGGTAGTTCTGCCAGGGAAAAGTGATCTAAAAGCTAGCAAGTGAGTCCAGTGATTTTGCTAATGTCTCTTAATATGCCTTTAACAATCTCCTCCTTTGTGTGTGTCTGTGTGTGTATATACGCACGTGAGTGCAGGTCGCTCCAGAGGCTGGAAGAGGGTGTGGAATCCCCTGAAGCTGGAGTTACAGGCCCCTGTGAGTTGCCTACCATGGGTGCTGGGCACTGAACTTTGGAAGTGCAGCAAGTGCCCTAAAGTGTGGAGCCATCGCTCCAGCTCAGGTTATTCTTTTATTTGACCCTGATTTCCAGAGATCATGTCAAACGGCTTGTTATCACAGAGGCAAACATTCAAACAGGGTTACTTTCCGGTTATCCCTGTGGAATCTGGAGAGAATGGACAGCCTTCACTTAGGTCAGAACAGGGCTAGCCAACATGTCAGAGAAGCAGAGAAAGTAAGAGTACAGGTAGACTTTATCAGCGCAAACCTTTTCTGATACATGAGTTTCCTTTCTGCTCTGGAAAAGGAACTGTCCCGCCTTCTGCTTGAATGTCTTCAATGAGGCTGGATTTCTTTCCTGAAAATTGAATGCATTATAATCAGACTGCTGAAAGCCCTTCTTTTTGGTTAAACCTTATTTCTATTGATTAGATAATTTTTGTTTGGTTTTGTTTTCTGAGATAAAGTCTCTGTGTAGAATAGGCTGGCCCTGTACTGAGAGACATACTTGCCTCTGCTTCTGTAGTGCAGCAAGCATCTGTACCTGCTCAGCTGCTACATGGATTTAAGAAATACTGTGATATATTTATCTTAGTGTGTACGTAAGCAGGACAAGTGTGGGAGCTGGTTCTTTCCTTCCACTGTGTGATGCTGGGCTCAAAGGTATACACCACACACCCTGTAGCTAATTTATTTTGAAGGCTCTTCCTTTTTATTAGCAAACTGAATGACAGGATAAATCAGCTTTTCCCTTGCAGGCATACGAGTCAAAGCGGAGTACCTGGAACACTAGGCAAATGTTCCATCACCATGTTATGCCTGCAGGCCCCTTTGCCTTTTCACTAAGTTAAATTACATAGTCTACAGTTAATAGTTCATTAGCATATTTTTAAAAGGAAACAATGTCATGCTATACCTTAAATGTTTCTTGTGATTCTTCTAATAACTAATTAAGATGAACAGTTCAAACAACAATTTACATGAATATTTTCAGATTGACTAGAACAATTTAGGACTACTTGAGGCATTTAGACTTTAAAATCCAGGATTTCCCCATTACATTTTAACATATGTACGATATGTCCAATAAGCTACTATTTTGAATATTGCCTATATAACAATAGTTTCCAAATAGCCAAAAGTACTATAAGCTCTTTTGATTTCTTGACTATATCTTCACATTTATTAAGTATGTCTATAAATTGTGCTATGCATTTGGAGACACAGCCTCATGTGTCCTATGAAGCCCAGGCTGGACTTGAGCTTGAGATATTCATAAATGCTAGGAGTAGAGGTATGGACCACCTGGCTTGTAATCTCTTCTCTAATGCACCTTGTTTCTTCCTAAATTAATTTCCTTTTCAGAAGAAAATCCATTTTTTGGGGGGAGAAGATCAAACGAGTGACCAAGCACCCTGAAGTTTGTTTCTTCATCTCACAATTCCCAGAAATATAATACTGAAAAGTAATTAACAAGCCAGTCATGGTGGTGCACACCTTGAGTCTTTGGCACTAAAGTACTCAGGACTTTAGCATGAGGGAGGCAGAGGCTGGCTGATACCTGAGGTCATTCCTGGTCTACAGAATGAGTACCAGCACAGCCAGGGCTGCACAGAAACCCTGCCTTAAAAATACAAAGCAAACAAACAAAAGCAACAGGTTCGGTTTCCAGTTCCCACAGAACTCCCGACCAGCAGTGCCAGTTCCAAAGGCCCTATACTCTCCTCTGGCCTTCAGGTACTAAGCAATCATGTGACACACACATACAAACACTCACATGTCTTTATAGCATGAAAAAAAAGCTATAAAGAGTGGATAACTGATGCAGATTGAGATGTAAGAGTCATGGAAATTAAGCACAATGTGTAAACCGCAACTATATGCCCAATCAGTATTTTCTTCTTTTGTTGGGGGGGTGGGGGAGCAGTCAGTCCCTAAAAAGAGAGCCGATACACAATTCCCTTCAGGAATAAGGTTCATTAAGAAAATGGGCCCTGCCAGGTGTGGTGGCTCATACCTTGAGTCCCAGCACTTGGGAGAGGCATTTCTAGACTTTCAGCAGAGGAGGGAAGGAAGGGAGATAGAGACTGAGACAGATCACTTCTGGCTGTGGGACCTGGTCTTTTAAAGGCAGAAGGCAGCAGGCCCCTATTCTAATAAAGGCATTTTTTTTTTTTTTTAGATAATTAGGAAAATCTAAACGTCATTTTAGGTGTGATAATCTTTAAAGACTGTGTAATGTCCTTAAGGCACAAGCTGAAACAATTAGGGCTAAAGTTCATGACTTTCAAATGTTTCAGTGAAACAGTGTATACTGCAAGGGGATTAGGGGGAAGAGAGGAGGAGGGTGACTGCTGAGAGAAATATAGTTAAAAAAATGTTAATAAGAATAATAATAATCCCCTGAGCTATTTTTTGTTCAAAGGCTTTCAGTGAGTGTCTATTTTGAGAGTTCAAATATCTAAATAGAATTTTATTATTTTATTATCTTCCACATAGATTATTTAGACCCTTAGATTATTTGCAGGAAGTTTAGTTAGGTTGTGAGATTAACAGACAACTTTTTTTTTGTTGTTGTTGTTCTGTCCTGGAACTCACTTTGTAGATCAGCCTGTCTCTGTCCATAGAGTTGGGATTAAAGTAGGCTGCCATCACACCCAGTATCATCAGACAACTCTTAACTTAGTGTTAATCAGAGCTAAAAGCTTTTGAAAAAGAAGTCATTAGTTTTCCTGATTCAAAGTCTGGCCTCAAAGCAAGAGCCTTGAAATACTGGAGGATAGATAAGAACAAGACTTCTTGAGATGCAGCCCCAGGCTTGACATTCCATTACAAACTATTCAAGTCACTTTACTGATTGCTGTAACTATAGCAGCTCAGCGTTTTGAAATTAGAGGGGAAACGTCAGTTTTTCATATCTAAGTTTTACATAGAAATTATGGAAGTTAATTCATCTCTAAGGTCTCTTGGCACAGTCATTCCTGTCTTTTAATACACTTATACAACAAATCGAAAGCCAACAGATAAACCTAAGGGACAACACAAGAGAAACTGTAACAGATATAATGTTTAATCACAAAACGAATCAAGCAGCAGCAACAACAAAATAACAGGGTTTCCGAAGGTGAGGCTTTTTAAGGTGCCTTTTTACCCTAGGCTGGTAGGAACGTACATAGTTGAAATATGAGAGATAAAAAGTTGTTACGTTTATATCTTACATTGTTTTACTTTACTTAATCTATTTTAAAAGCCTCTGGCAAAAAGCTCTCAGCAATGCGTCCTCCAATATGACAGCATATATGAACCCTCCATTATGAAGGGTGCGGGCCCTTGTGTTCTAAACAGGGTTAAGGACCGAGGTTTTCAGTAAAGGGGCTCCTGTCTGACAGCTCAAGGTCACCGAGTGGATGGATACGTTGCAGATCCCGGGGCGAGCCCGATCCCCTAGTCCCGGAGGAGGCAGTGTCTCAGGGCCTCCGATTCCTACCCTGCGGATGACAAGGCCTCCGGGGGGGCGGCCTGGCCTCCCGCGGCGCCGCGCTGCCGGTTGCGCAGCCCCAGCACCCGCGTGCACGCGGCGGCTCCCCCCGGGGTACCTGCCGGCTACCTTTCCCGAGTGGAGCCCGACACCCCCACCGCCCGCGGACCCGGGATTATGAGAGCAGAGGAGAGCAAGCCTACTTAGCCACTGGCTCTCGCATCAGACGCCGGTGCCGGGCTGAAGAGCTGCGGCGCGGGTAGAGTCTGAGCTCCGGAGGGTCGGTAACAGAGAGGGCGCCGCGCCGCTGTGCAGAGGAGAACACGTGGGGGCAGCGATGTCAAGCGGAGCTGTTGATCCCTGGACGCAGATTCGTTACACCGTGGGTCAGCGCCGGACGAAAAGCAAGTAACCTCAGTGAATTCTAAAGCCACCAGAGAATTAACTCTTACGATTATCTGTTAGACCGTGCTCTGCATTGTCCACTTTCTGTCCCACAGCAACCGAATCTGTTGCCATTTCTAAGAAGTCTAATATACTTGACCCCTAGGTCTCTAACGGTCTGCAGCGACTGCAGTGTAAATAACCCTCGAGAAGTGCCGATGGGCTGATCGAGAGCGCTTCGGTCCTCGAGGAGGACCTCCTATCGTATCCAAAATAAATGAGCCATGCTGCCTTTAAAATAAGAATAAGGCCACACTTCTTTAAAGGTGTTTTTTTACGTTAGGAGAGTGTTTCCGCCCGGACGGCAATGTAAGAGCACCAGGGTGCGCCAGGGCGCTCCCTTTCCGGTCGGAGCGTTGGCTCTTGGCGCGCACGCGTGCTGAGCCTCCGGGGCGGGCTTTCGGGAGCGGAGGGTGTAGACCCGCGAACGACCGAAGCTGTTGTCATGTTACGGACGGGACGGCGTGGCTGCCGCCCTCCGTGGGGACGCTGAAGCCTAAATCGGAGTGTTCGGAATTACGTCTGGACTCTTGGGAAGAAGGCTCTTGAGCTCTTCTGAGGGTGATATTTTAAAGACCAGGGTTTTAGCGTTTACCTGCCCGGCTGGGTCTTCGCGACAAACCTCAGCCACGCCTCCACGTCTGTTGGGGTTCTCGGGGGCAGCCCAGGGTTTTGGGGGAGTGCATTGTTAGTACGGTTTCCGTGGCTTCTCCCTTGCCCTGGGCATAATTCCTTTCAGATTTATTGCCTCGGTACGTGAACAGACTCAGTGGGATTAATAGTAAATAAGATGTTACAGTCGAAATTTGTCCTGGATTAAATGTCAAGATTGAAATTTACAGCTTTGTGAATATTTTGTCTATTAGACTTTTTTTTTTTTTTTTTTTAAAGTTAATGGCTGCTTCATCATCATTTTTTGGAATTCGGGCATTTCTTACCAAATTCACTTCCATCCTTGCTTCTTTTCCTGCTACCCGGTTGAAACTGTGTCCTAAAGTCTGTGAACTCAGAAGAGACTGCCTCTGTTAAGAATCGCAGGACTTGTTTTGTGACTAACCGTATGAAAAACTTTGAGTTTAGCCCGGAAAGGGGAAAAGGGGTTAAGATGCCAGCGAGGAAACTTCGAGAGGTTCTTTCTCCAAACCAAGGAGGGGATAGATTGGCTGTGGTGGAAGATGAGCTGCCCCTTGTGCCTCCAGCCTTGTCTGCAAATAAAAGCCTTGCAGTTGGAATGAGGACGAGCTCAAATGGAACGTCATATGGTATGTGATTCCAAATGTTGCAGTTTTCCACCAAGTTTTTGTTTTGGTATATCATTAGGCTTTACGTTCATCTCTAGTTTGGGTTGTGCATGCCCCCAAATTTAGAGGAGGAGTCAGTGTTTACATTCTCAAATGTAAGATACAAGTCTGGTTTGTACAGATGCTTGAAAAGCAACTTGGTTCCACCAGGAAAATAACCGGTTTACAGCATGTACAATGACTGAAATGTGACTTTTTCCTGCTGTACTTGGTTTTGGTGTGGACTTTGCATCTTGTTCTTGTTCACATCCGTGGTAGATACAGTGGGCTTGTATAATTTGCTTAGTACTTACCAAGTGCTTTACCTGTCTTTTCGGATAGTGCTGTCCAGTCTGGCATAGGAGAAATGCCTGGCTTCAGTCTTCTGTGGCTTCTGTATTTGCAATTCACATGTTCTTTTTAGAGCTGTGAAACTGTACTGATTGTTTTAAGGATATTAAGGAATATGTGTGCAAGACAGCATGCTTGCTACTCGTTTTTTCCTTCTTTTTGTTTTTTGAGACAGTGCTTGTCTGTGTAACCTTGGCTATCCTGGACTTGCTTTGCAGAACAGGCTGGCCTCAAACTCACAGAGATCTGCCTGCGCCTGCCTCTCCAAGTACTGGGATTACAGGCATGCACTACTGTGCCTGGCTGGCTTGCTTGTTGCTTTTTGAAGATATGCTATAGCAGGCCTTCTGTTAAATCAGGCTTTTATATCTATGTGGTGTTTTTTTGTTTATTTTTGAGACAAGGTTTTCCTGTAAAGTCCTGGCTGGTTTGGAACTCACTCCGTAAATCAGGTTGGCCTTGAACTCACAAATCTGCCACCAGAATTCTAGGATTAAAGGCATGTACTACCATGCCTGGCTATATACAAGGTTTGTTCTAGTGAATCCAATTTTTCCCACTTTGCATAAATACCTCTTAGAATGTTAAAAAATGCTAGTTACAATAGTGTGTCGCTGTGTGGACATGAGTTCAGGTGCTCGTGGAGGCCTAGAGCTAGCCTTATATATGTAAGCTGCCTGTTGGAGGCACCAAACTCCAGGCCTCTGTAAAAGCAGCAAGCCTTTTGCTTGCTTTGCTTTCTCTCCAGCCCTTGAAAAAAATCTTTTTCAAACACCCCGTTTTATTTTATTGAGAGTTTCACTGTATAGCTCTGGTTGGCGTTAAACTTACTCTGTAGACCACAATAGTCTCAGACATAGAGAAATTCACCTTCTCTGCCTTTGAGCACTCCAATTAAAGATGTTCAATACCTCCTCTGCTCTTAAAACATTTTAGAGCTCACCTGCTTAATTGCTTTGACTCATCCTTGTTTTGCTAAATAATCAGCTGTAAAGTCTTTCATTGGAATATGTTTAAATATATTTCCTCAGTTTCTTTTCAAGGGAAGTGTCTTCATATTTTTTAATTTATATTTTTAAATTAATACAGAGGTTCTCAGTTCTTGTATCATGGCCGAATAGTTGCCAAGGCTCAGGTTTTTATTTAAAAGCCACTCAGACTGGACCTGTGGTTCAGTTCTAGAGCTTATCATGATAGGCCTTGGGTTCAGTCTCTAGGAAAGACGAAAAAACAGCACTGACTTGACTTCTTTGTTTTTTTAGATTCATTGAATTTAACTTCTGCTAGAAAATATCACCAGCCTCTGTCAGAAAATTTCCCTGTGTCCAGTAAAAGTGTAAGTAAAAGAATTCCAAATCAAATTAAAACTTCAGCACTACCAAGATTTTTAAAGTTAGGTTTTGTTAACAACGTATTTTGTTTTATTTAGGTATCTCATAGGAAGGGAAATGTTTTGGGTTTTTTTCAGTTCATTTTATTTTTATCACACTTTTTATTTTGTGTACGTGTAAGCGTATGTGTAGGCATGAACAGGCCATTTTTGTGTGTGGAGGTCACAGGACAACTTTGAGGAGTTTATTTTCTCCTGTCATGTGGATTCCAGCAATCAGATTGGAGTCATCAGGCTTGGCAGCAAATGCCTCCATACCTCCATCTGTTGAGCCATCTTACCAGCTCAAGAAATGTTTTGTAGACTGTGACTTGAAGAGCATGGGATGTTAAATGCATCTGTTGTATAGTTAGTCTTATTGGTGTTGAGAAAATTAATACCCGTCATCATCTTTACTTTTTAAGTTTTTTTTTTTTTTAATTTTCATATGTGTACGTGGTGAAGGTGTGTGTGTGTGTGTGTGTGTGTGCGCGCGTACGCGTGTGTAAGGGGTATGTGTACAGCCATGGTCGAGGTTGCTGTCAGGAAACGTCCTCCGTTGTCCTGCCGCCTTATTTCATTCAGTCAGAGTGTCTCAGTACCAGAGCTCCCTGCCACGGCTAGTCTACCGACCACCTGCCTCCATGGCGCTCCTGTCTCAGCCTCCCAGGGCTGGAGTTACAGGCAGGCTGCCATCATTGACTTTGGTTCAGGGGATCCTTGTGCTTGTGAGAAGGGTGTGTCAACTCCTGAGCTCCCTCCCCAGCCCTATTTTTTTTCTTCCCTTAAGATTTATCAGAAAAAAAAAGGAAGGTGAAGAGCAGCATGGTATTGATACAGTGCACTGAGAGTTCTAGTGTCTCAGCGTGGAATCCTAGAGGTGAGTTCTAGGATCCCACGGGAGCAGAAAGCCCTTGAACAGTAGATGTGACTTGCATAGCACAGCTTTGTAGGACAACACGTGAGCTCAGTGACGACAAAAGCTGGGGTTAGTTTGCAGTGTTGCCTGGCCATGGTATCTCCGTCCATCTGACTTACCTTAATCACCTTAATCTGAAGGAGCTGAGATGTTCGAAGTGGATCTGAATCAGACTCTGGTTCCACCTCCATTTGCCTATATGTTTTTTTTCTCATTCGCTATTCTAATATCTTATTGCTCATTCATTAAGAAATCCTTGAGTGGCTTTCAAGTACCTATGAAATGTGTAGTGTTGGGAATGAAATAAATAAAATATGCAGACCCACCTTCCTAGTTCATAGTAGCCAAATAGCTGTACATATTACCTCATCAGTGATATTTGTAAAGCTTATTCAGTCTTACTCTTTTCTTTTATGCCCAAAGGAGCTTTCTAAAGTCCCGAGGATACCTTTGGATAAAACAGAAGAGAACAACACACAAAATGGTAAATTAATATGGTTGACTTTTAAAGCTGAATTAAAATACAAAGAACATTTTTGTTTTAGTTTTGAATGCACAGTTCTGTGACATTGACCTTGATGACAGTTCAATGGCATCAAGTGTTGACATTGTGCTCCTGTCACTGCCATTCATCTCCAGAACTCTTTCATCTCCCCACTGAGCTCTGTGCCCCTTAACTCTTCCTTCTTGCCTCTGTGAATTTGACCACCTCAGGTACCTTAGGTACGTGGCATCATCTAGTGTTTAACCTTTGTGCCTGGCTGTTTGCGTCTACATAATGTGTTTAAGCTTATCCAGATTGTAGTATTTTCTCTGTAAGGATAGAATTGGATTTTTTAAAAAATTAAATTTATTTATTTTGTGTGAATGGATGTTTTTCCTGCCTGTATGTCTTTACAGAGCATTCATACATGCCCATGAAGGCCAGAAGAGGGGTCAGATCACCTGGAACTGAAGTTATAAAGGGTTGTGCGTCATCATATGGGTGCTGGGAATTGTAAGAGCAGCCAGTACTCTTCACTGCTGAGCCATCTTTCCAGCCAAGAATTAGCTTATTTATTCAATAGCTTAGTAGTGTTTCTTTATTTTGTTCCAGGCATCAAATCCAGGGCCTTACTATGCATGTGAGGTAAATCTACTACTGTCTATATCTTGAACTCCTAATATTTTTGTTTTACTTTTTTTCTTTTCAAATTAGGTTACTAATAGAATCTAAAATCTAGAAGGATTTGCACAGGACAAGCCTCTTTTGCTATTATAAGCTAATTACAAAGGCTTGGCATGGGATATTTATTTTATTGTTTTGTTTAGTTTTTGAGAGCGCTTTTGCACTGTGGCCCTGGCTGAACTAGAACTTGCTATGGTAAAGCAGGAGAGCCTCAAGCCTGTAGGGAGCGTCATGCCTCTGCATCCCGAGTGCTAGATGGGAGCTGCAAATTGCAGTCAAACTCATTCATTCTTTCTTTCTCTTTAAAACAGTGCCAGGGATCAAATCTAGGACCTCATGCATACTAAGCAAGTGTTCTGCTACTGAACTGCATTCCTAGCCCTCAATCTTGGCTTTTTTCTTCTGCAGAATCTGAAATATATTTTTGTGTTTTGATTTTTCAGCAAATGACATCTTTATTTCTCAGTATGCCATGGGACAGAAAGATGCTCTGAGAACTGTTTTAAAGCAAAAGTAAGTTTCATTTACAGATACTTGTAGTGATATGCTACCTTAAGTTAGAAGGAAACTGTGCTTTTAGCATATGTTAAAAGGTCAATGCACAGCATTGGTCGAGAAGAACACAGCAATGTTTTAAAACTAACCATAGCAACTTCAAGGGCTGAGATGTTGCCAGCATGCACAGTCGAGGAGTGTGAAGGTAGCTTAGTAATAGCCAGTTCTAATATGATGCTTACTCTGCCCTCTGCTGTGCTCTCTTGCTCACTCTAATCGTTGCAGAAGCCCAGCGTACCTAAAAATGTACATAGACGCAGGCGTGGGTGACTAGAGCTGGCGCGGTAAGGAGCATTGCATTCAGTGGATTACCGCACCGTACAGGCATGTAAGCTAATAAGGGGGAGATCCACAGTGGTATAAGACAGGGTTGTTGAAAGGCAACAGCTGTATTGCATCCGAAGAAGAAAGTAGTGAATGGGGTGAAAGGTTGAGAGCTCATGGAGAAAAGCTTGAAATGAGTTGTGGGCCCAGTGTTTTCTGTATCTTCAACAAGAAGAGCTTTGTGACTCCACACAGTTGTTGTTTGGCAGAGGTAATAGCTATCTATTGTAAAGTAGGGCCCCGAGAACGGAGTTTGTGAGGTGCAGGAGCAGGCTCATCTGAGAAAGCTGACGGGTCGTGGGAAAACCTCCGGGAACTGGACTCCTAACTGTCCCTCACTACATTTTTGGCTTTGGTCAAGTAAATCCGTTACCTCCAGACTTCAGTCATGACATACAATTGAGCAATGAGGATAGATGACCTTACATAAGATTCCCACCTCCCCGGTTCCATCTGTGGCAGTTGTCATGCAACTGTGATGAAATAATTGAGGGAACTTGACTGACTTGGGTCTGAGAAGGTCAGCAGATGGAGAAGCCAAAGTGACTTGGTTCGTTGGAGGTGTGCGGACAGTTACTGTCTTAGTTGTGAAGAGGCATGGAAGACAAGTAAGTACCAGGCACAGTGCTGCCCTAGGAGGCGAGTGAGGGACCCCGTGCTGCACATGGCATACTCCTGCTGACGGCACTTACTCACGGAGGGCTTCTCGGCTGTGTCAGTGTCCTTTCACCAGGCTGTCTTGGTCTGACTAGAGAGTGCAAAGAACCAGTGTGTTCAGAAATGAAGTCGGTTGCCTACCTGCGACTAGGTATCTGTTTGCTGTGGGTTTTTTTTGTTTTGTTTTTTTTTTTTTTTTGTAGTAAGGGGAACTGAACTGAAGGCCTTGGGCATGCCAGCATCTACCAGTGAGCTGTCCCCTTCTTGCTGTACTCATTTGTAATGCGGACTGCCTAATGGTGTGTTTGGTGCCCACTAAATAAACTACACACCATTAGGCAGTCCGCATTACAAATGAGTACTGAACAAGCTAGGATTCAGAAAACTCAGAACTTTGAATAATCCATTTTGGACTTTGTGCTAAGGTGAGTAAGCCAGCAGGGAAAGGGAATTACCATGTAAGCCAGGTCAATTATGTGTGTCACAGACACATATAATTGCTGTGGAGTGGTGGTTGCCACAGGTTGGTAGTAGTGGGAAGCGGGGAGGTAATTGCCGAAGGTTACAGTCTCAGTCAGGATGGTTAAATAGCAGAACTTCTTATGCAGCATGACGACTTTAATGGATATTAACTCCTGACAGCGTAGATCTGAAGTGTCCTCACCATGGACTAGGTACTTGTGTAAGGTAATGGCTATATACTGATTACCTTGGTTGTACAATTTCACAATGTATACATGTATCAGAAATCACATTATATACTGCACATGTGTAGTTTAAATTTGTCAGTTGTATCTTAGTAAATCTGGGAAAAACAGGTGCATATAATAGTAATGTTGTAATTTTTTTGGTTTTCTGACTTCTGTTTATTTTGAGATTGTATTTTAATTTCAGTATTTCTCTTTCCTTTCTTCCCTTCAAATCCTCCCATATACGCCTCCTTACTCTCTTCAAATTTAATGTCCTTTTTTTCCATCATTTGTTATTGTATTTGGGTGTATATTTGTATTTGTGTGTATATATGTATATACATATTTTTATACATTGTATGTATATGTGTGTATATATATTCCCAGATCAAACATGTTGAGTCCGTATGCTGTAACCTGCATGTGTGTTTTCAGGGCTGCCATGTGGCGCTGGATAACCAGTTGGTGTGCTCTTCCCTGGGGAAGGCCACCTCTCCTACTCCCAGCTTTTCTCAGTTGCCTGTAGTTCTCTGTATAGGATTGAGGTCTTGTGGGCTTTTCTGAGTGCACTTTGGCATGTTCATTGGCGTCCTCTGTGTTCAGCTATCATTTGGGTGGTCTTGTTGGTGAGACCTGATGGGTGTGGCTTCTGACCTGACAGTGAGACACTGTCACAGCGAAGTCCCTGACCCTCTGGCTCTTCTGCTCTTTCTTTTCCCTCTTCTACAATGTCCCTGAGCTAAGGGGTTGTTTGTGGTTGTAACCATTAGGACTGACTTCCCAACTCTCCACTTTGATTGGTTGTGGTTTCCTGTAGTGGTCTTTGTCTGTTGGAGGGAAAAGTTTCCTTGATGTGACCACTTACCTGTGGTCTAAGGACAAGTGCTGATAGTTGATTGTTAGGCATTATGCTGGTTTAGTAAATTCGTGGTTGTCGATTCCCCTCCAGTAACCGTGACTTCAGCAGCACTGGCTAGCTAGCTCGGGTTCTAGTACCAGACATGATAACTCTTTGGTTGAGCAGGCCATAAGTCCTCAGAGAGAGCCCTTGGTTACAAGCAAGGCACATGTGCCACGCCTGCACTGCAGGGCTCTGTTGCCCTGCTGGTTGTTGATGTGGTTCGTGGGCGCCAGAGCTGGGTAGGACCGACCGTTGGTGTCCTCTCTCCTTTGAAAGCTTGCACGGCATCTTCTGGTACCATGAAAGCTAGTCCTCAGGAAGGAGGCATTCATTCAGGTCAGTGCAACTTAGGGGCCTTTGGGCCCTGTTTCTAAAGTTGCATGGTATCTTCAGCAATAGGGATTTGCCTTCCACCTGGGGTGGGTGGGAACCAAGGGTAGCAGCAGTAAGTGGTATTTTTTGGAAATCTATTAGACAGCCCTGGTCAACAGCCGAAAAGATGGTTTCTCATGACTGGTATTGGGGTTTTGTTAGGTGGTTTTTGGTTTTTAGAGGGAGGGAGTGTTGTCAGCCCAGATAAGAAAGTCCATCAAATCTATATATTATATTTATACACTGAATTATCTTCATTGTAGTTTTTTAAGGTAGTTAAAGTATAATTCCTTGTGCCTTTTCAGCAGTCCATATTGTTATTTTTCTTCCCTCCTTGCATTTGCTTCTCTCCCCCTTCCCTAAGGAGCCCGTTTTTCACTTTTCCCGGTCAGATGAGTTGTAGCCTCCTTGCGGAGCTCCACCTTGCCCATTATCCCCTGTCACATCAGTGGTACCTTGCTATTCTCCTTTACAATCTCCTTGCATCTTCTTCTCTGCTTATTTCCTCCCATTCTCAAAGGACCCTTCATTTTCCCAATTGCCATACCAAATTACCCGTATCCTGCTATCCGCCTTTACTCTAGCCCCACTTTCTTCTGTATTTAACTTCCTCCTCTTCCTTAAGGAGTGGACTCTTTCCCATTTTCCTCATCAGATTACTTGTGCCATGCTATTCCCCTCTATCTTGCTCCCCAAATCACCTATTGTAGCAGTGGTCCCATTTTACTTTCCTGGCTTTTGTAGTTACTACTGGTTATGTACTCACATCTAAAGGAAGGTTTAGAGCCAGGAGCCTCCAGTTAGAGAAAACATGCAACATTTGTCTTTCTGAACCTGATTTGCCTCACTCAATATGATTTCCCCTTGTTTTATCTGTTCCCTTGCAAAATTCACAATTTCCTTTTTTCACTGGTGAATAGTATTTCATAATGCATATGTATCACATTATATCATTCTCATTATCCATCAGTTATAGACCATTTAGGTTGTTTCCGTATTATGACTAGTACAGTAATGACCGTGGATGAGCAAGTATCTGTGGAGTAGGATGTCAAGTCCTTTGGACATATATCAAGGATGTGGTATAGCTGGGTCATATAGTAGATTTATTTCCACGCTGATTTTCATAATGGTGCACTAAGTTTGCATTCCAGCCAACAGAGAAGAAGGGTTCCCTTTCATTCCTGCATTGTTGTTGGATTGACCTTTGTGTCTCTCACTGGGTTAAGATGAAATCTCAGAGTTGTTTTGATTTGCATTTCCCTGTTAGGGATGATGAATACTTTTTAATTTAGAAAGAATTCTGCTTGCATGTGTACCTGTGCACCAGAAGAGGACACCAGATCTCAAGATAGATGGTTATGAACACACTGGGAATTGAACTCAGGACCTTTGGAAGAACAGGCAATGTTCTTAACTACTTAGCCATCTCTCCAGTTTGGAGGATGAATACTTTTTAAGACATTTCTTAGCTTTTTTTTTTTTTTTTGAGAAGTTTCTATTCATTTTTGATGGTCCATTGTTTTTGGATGGGTCATTTGTTTTTTTGACTCGTCACTTTTTGAGTTCTTTGTATGTTTTGGACATTAATCTTCTGTCAGATCTGTAGCCAGCAAAGATCCACTTTTTTTTTTTTAAGGATGTATTTATTTATTATTTACAGAGCATTCTACCTACACCTGTGCCTGTGCACCAGAAGAGGACACAAGATCTCAATATAGATGGTCATGAGCCACCATGTAGTTTCCGGGAACTGAACTCAGGACCTTTGAAGAACAGCCAGTGCTCTTCACCTCTGTGCCACCTCTCCAGTCCCCAAATATTCTTTCATTCTGTATGCTTCCTTTTCATCCTGTTTTTGTTTCTTTAGTTGTGCTGAATGTTTTGTTTGTTTGTTTGTTTCAGGAGGTTACAGTTACAATTGTTGGCTTTAATTTTGGGGCAAATGGAGTCCTCTTTGGGAAGCCCGTCCCTACACTCTAGCACATAGGGTACTGCCTATGTTTTCTTACAGC